TTATCGTATCAATCCTACAATCTTCCTCCAGCTTTCGCCAATGATCACAAGAGATATGTATTCACTGCACATTTGGTTTTTCACTGCCAGCATATAGATTGGTCTTTGTCTATAACAGACACATTTGTCGGACCGAAAGGATGTCCTTCAGTGATCGCATGTCGAGCATGGCCAGAATTGTCAACCTGCCCAGGGAGGACCGCAGAAAGGTGTTCATTTATAGGGTATTCGGTTTCCGGTTGATCTTCCAAATGTGTACTTTATCGTTGTTTCTGCGATGAACTTTGTATGCGACATTTAATGTATCTTCAGGGTTATTAATGGATATTTACGTTTTAAATAAAATGTCGTCGTTCCACCAGTCTTGCAGTAGACTCTAAACCTCACGTGATTAAAGGACCTCATGATACGTGGAGATACCTGGGATTTGAAGGGTAAAATTATTATTCTCCACATGAACTGGCCACCTTTAAGTTTGATTTGGATGCAAAAGTTCTTCGTGGTAAGAGAACGATGATTTCCTTGCTTTGAACACGATAAACTGAACATGGTGCATCCAAACAAAATGATCATTTGGGAAATTTGCCTGCTAGATGAGGAAGGGGGAGGCAATTGCACAGGTTTTGCAATGTTGCTAGTTCTTCGTTAGGCCAGCGTTGTTGTTGACCATATATGCAATTTTTCCAAAGAAGAAGCAAAAATTACGCTTGAACTCTTTGCAGCACGTTGGCCTCGAGACACAGTGAGGGTTAAATGGCAGGACCATATAAGGACTGACTCCGATCTATTCCAGGCATCGGTAAACTCATAAAACTTTGAGGTTAAGAAAAGGAGATTATTCATGCAAGACAAAGTGGTTGAAAAAAAACAGTTTACTCCAGCCGTGAGTTTCTCGTATGGGAGCCTAAACGCGGCAGACAACGGTCGAGAGGCCAGCCTGCACGCTGGAGAAACAGAGCAGGGTTTATCTGGTTATATAGTACTTGTACTGCGATACAAAAATATTTTTTTGCAGTACAGTTTCTGTGTTAAGTGCACTTTTTGATCCCCATTCTTCAGTCATTCATGTGACAAACCATCTAAACGCAAATGTCATGCTCCAACAGAATGGATTACTACCTCAGATCCAATTCTTCGTAATTTTCCTCATAGCTTCCTCTAGCACGAGCAAACCATTTTTCTTCTGAACCTCAAATGAGGGAAAACGATAATTTTAGTTACAACGATTGACGTCCGAATTCGAACGGCTGTTGTTCAAACATCTGCACCTACTGATTCGTATAATTTC